GGAGTGTGTGAGGCGCTGCCCGCTGGCCCGGCAAACACACTCGGCGTGTTCTTTTCTTTGGTGTTTTTTTTCACTGAGGCCCCTTTGGGCTTGTGTGGAGTTACTCACAGGGCTGTCTCTGTGCGAGGGTTCACGCCCCTTTCGATTAAAGCGTAGCAGTGTTCACAGAGTGAGTCTTGTGGTCATGTTACGAAGCAGCACTGCATGTTTGATAATTATGATTTTCACATGCCTAAAGAGCTTGATTATAAATATAGATATACACGGCATAGCAGTGAGTAGGTAATATTGTCCCTATTGGGGTTTATTGGTTTCGTATAAATGTTTCGAAAAGTCGTGAAACTCTGCATTGACTGGGCTCATAGCGTGGTCGAGTTGTCAGAGCGAGCTGAACGCGATTGCTGTGCTGACGTCCGGCCCAGTCGTAGCTGAGTCACCTTGCGTTTGTCTTGACGGTGCAGTTGGATCCTCAGCTAGCGTGTCAGCAGTGTCACCCCCCAGTGACTGGCGCTGAGTGCTTACGGGGGGGGACTATGCTGTCAGACCCCAAAATGGGTGCGCTGAACACCACCCCTGTCCCTCAAGAGGCTTTGAAGATCTGTCCTCCCTCCAAGTTCATTAAATCTCAGCTGGGGAAACCACGCCCATGTCGGATTGCGGGCAAGCTGATCGGACGCAGACCCGACCGGTGGAGATGTGTTCACTGTAGATATGATTGGCGGAGTCCTGACTGGTCGCGTGGATCAGCTGAGCAAATGCAATCGACGTGGACGAAGCATCTCCATGCGGACCTGCTGACGCTGCTGGAACTGACCGCACCGCCTGAACCGGCTCGTGTCTTTAAGGGCACAATAATGTGGAGTATCTATGAGACGGGGATACTATACAGCGGAGCAAGTAGCCATTCAGGCGACGAGGAAGGCGGTCGTACCAATCAGAACAGCCAATCAGAAAGAGTTCATGGTGGGGGGAGGGGGCACACCGAAATACACGGAAGTGAGGCCTTTTCCCCTGGATTCCAATGGCTTTTAATCTATTAACAGCCGATCCTTAAACACTAATCAATGGCGGCTTTTATATTTCCATTAAAAGGGAAATGAATGAATAAATCATTGGTGGCAAGTCAGCCGTCCCCGCTGCGGAAAGCCGTGCGGCTCCAGCGTGCTGGCCGGCTAATCACGGTATCGTTCTGGGCGGCCCGTTTGCCTTCCTCTGCAAGAAGCTCTGTTATGCATTTTACAATAAACAGAGTGTCTCGTGCCAGGGTAGGTCTGTCTGCGAAGCAGCCTTCACCGGGAGACGCTCTCTGGCTACCTGTGGACTGTAGCTTCACCTGTTCTGTTCAGCTCTACTCCTCCCGGGACAGCTGCAAACACATGAATAGGTACTGAGTAAGGCACCGAACGGGGCTTTGCTCAGAGAGGATGTACTCAGTACAAACAGGTCCAGCAGAGCCAGAGTCAGGATGGCAGCGGCCTCATTAAGGGCCCAAGCCGCTCTCCTCGCGTCTCCACAGTGTTTCGTCAATACGTGTCCAGCAATCCAGGACAGTTCCCCCCCCCCCCCCCCAAACTTTCCTAAAATATCCACCAGACCACATCTGATAGGCTTACATGACATGTTTTACTGCTGATGTTCTCCAGTCGTTATCTTAATTAACCCTAACCCTGGCATCCATATGACATACTCAGCCTGGCACTGCCAAGCCTGTGTTTCGTTAAGCAAATTAGGAGGAGGAAATTGCAAGATTATTGACGTTAGGGAAACGGAGGAATGAGCAGAGCTGTCGAATGCTAAAACCAAGACACTCCCAGAACACGTGAGCATTTCTGTTCCACTGACATGATAAACCTCAGGTGGTGAGCGGCGCGTGTGAACATGAGCAGAGGTGTGTAATTATTGATACCCGCCGCTGCTCGTCGGCATGCTGGATGTGTCGTTACTCGCGAGCGGTGCCGACTTCCACGTGACTATTACGGGGAGAGGTCCCGTTGCCCCCCCCCAGCCACCCCAGTGCCCCCCCCCCCCCTCTCGTGCCGGGTCTGTTTTCACAGCAGAAATCTCCCTCCAAGGGATTCCCCACCCTACCCTTCGACAGACGCAAGTTCTGCAAACTATCAGCGCACACGTTACAGGAATTATCTTAGGGGCTGGAGGAAAGCCTGCTCCCAACAGGAGAGTAAGAGAGGCCATTCGTTAAGGCGGCCGGTAACCCCGCCTCCTTACCCTCTCCAGGTGTGCGGTTGTAATCCTGACAGACGCACCGTGATAAGATTTCTTTCTGTGGGAAGATTAAGAGTGCTCTTTACGGGCTGCTGTGGTAGGCTACCTCCGAGGCAGGCGACTTCCACCTAAAACGTCGCAGTATCCATTTAAGTACAAGTGATTCACCTCCAGCGGGCGCAAGTCGAGAAATCTTACTCGCACGTGAAAACAGTCGAAACGTGTCCCTGGGGAAAGCAGGGAAATTCAGGAGAGGTGAAATATTAAACCCAACTCTGAATATTTGGGGAGATTAATGAAGAACATGCGGGAGCAGATTGGAAATTGTTTCTGTTTGGGCAGATGTGCCAGACTTGAACTTTAAACTGGCTGAACTCTGAGCATGTGTGTGTGCCTGTGTGTGTGTGTGTGTCTGTGTGTGCGTGTAAATTTGTCCAGATGGTCTTCCACTCTCCTCGGACTGTTCTGTAAACATCCAACAAACACAGGGGAGAGACACAAATACTGAGAGCAACTTGTTGAATGTACGTTAAGGAGAAGCAAGTCGAGGGGGGGTGGGGCTCCTGCAGTGCATCTGGTGGCTGTTATTATGGCCTGTCGCATGTCCAGACTCTAGTCAATTTAGTAAAATTTGCCAGTTAGATCTAAATAATGTGGTATTTACATCCCAGTAGTATGATATATGGTGTATTTAAGAGAATCTTCTGTTGGCAGAAACCACAGGAGTTTTTGATGATCAGTTATTATTACTGATCGGTTGTTTATGTTGAATTAGTCTCACTTCTGCTGTCTGCCTTCTCTGGCAGGCATTAGTGTGGATGGCCGCAGAGCTAGTCCCCTCCATCGGAGGTATTCCGGAAGCTTCTGGCAGCGAGCGGCTCAGCTAGGCCGACCGTGCTCGGTCACGATACTCGGTCATGATACTCGGTCACGATACTCGGTCACGATACTCGGTCACTCTGAGGATGGTGAGTAATGCTGACAGGCCTTTTACTTTTTGAGAAAACAGGTCATAATGTCTCAGCCGGTTCGATCGGA